GCCCCCGACACCTCTCCTTCACGCTTCCTGGTCTCCCATTCCGTCAGTGCTTTAAAGGAAGCCATGGGTGGTGCAGGAGATTGGTGTCAGCCTCTGTGGTTCCTCGTCTTTTACTCGTCCTTGTTTGTCACTGCACTGCTCTGGTGTGGCCTTCTCCACCAGTTGCAGTCTCTCAAAGTCATACCTCCTTCAGTTCCCAAAGCTCCCACAGGTTTTTTTTGTGCCTGCCCCTGCTCAAGGGGTTTCTTTGCTCCAGCACTTGCTGGAGGTATCTATTTGCTCCAGTCCTGCTCTGGCTGTGGACCTCCTCCTCAAGTCACCCCTGCAGTCACCGGCTACCAAGACCCTGCCAATTATGCCCAATGTACCTACTCACGTTTCTGTAGGACATTCTGCCACGTATCCCAGAGTCACCAAATCACTTTACATGCAGAAGTTATCTAGGGGCACAATGGATTTGTTTTGAAGTACCTTAAAAGGTCATTAGCATGTAAGGACAGTGTAAAGGAGAGCAAGTGATGAGTGGGATTTGTTAGTTCCTAAATCCACCCAACTGCTATGTTATCTGGGGTTAGGGCAGCAAGGAGGACATTCCTGAGTGCTGTGGGGCAAAGAGTAATGTACTCTGAGCAAGTATTGTGCCTTGAGCACCCATGTCATGGTCCATGATGAGGGCATGTAGGACTGGGATAGCACAGCTAAGTAATTCTCCATAATGTCAAGGGAATCTGTCCTGAAGGTGCTGTTTCAGTTATCCCTAAAAGCTCAGTTAGGCTAGATCCAGGAGACTGAAAGCGCTTGGCAGGGAAGGCAGCCCCAGTGGCATGAGAGCCAGTCACACACCTAAGGAGCCCCCCACAGGCCTCTGCTGCCCAGCAGTGTGTCCTGCATGGGTCCCCACATTGGGCACCCCAAAACTGGCCACACAGCCACAGATCCAGAGACAAGGGACTTGATAATTCTACCAGCCTGCTGAAATGCCAGGGGGAAAGAACAAGTGCCCGTGTGATTTTAGGCCTTGTCAGCACTAGGGAACTCAGTAACCACAGCAGTAGGGCTGGGAGGCACAGGGGGAAAGAGAGAGAAGTTGTGGAAAGGATTTGGGTGCAGGCAGAGCTTGCAAACCATTCTCCCAAATACAGAGAACCTGCCAGGCGCCACACAGGCCTCCCCTTCTTCCCGATCCTCTGCACCACAACTCTTTGCTTTCTTCAGGCTCACAAACTCTTCCCCAGCTAACAGCATCCTGAAGCCTGGGGAAACAATAACCAGCGACCATGCCAAGTGCTGGCAACAGGTGACAGAGTTTAACCTTGGGGAAGGATAGAGCAAAAAGCAGGAACTGGTGTTATTGGTACCCCTTCCCTCTCCACAGTGCGGTATATGTTGCATCCTATGCCCTGTAAGAGTGCTCTTCAACATGTGGTCAGGCACCACTGGTGGGCTGTCTGCCACCAGAAACCATCAACACAAATGTAACTCAGCATAGCTATACAAAAACATGCACACACTGCTCCCCAAAAATCACAGCAAGAAGTATAGCAGGTTGGGAGGGGAGAATAAAAATAAATAGTAATGAGTGACTATTGAGCAACTAACCTAATGTTCACTTGATTGGAAATGCAAAGGAGTGTGATGGTAGTGGACTAGCTGGCCCATAGAATTTCCTCCAGAAGGCTAGCTTGTGCTTGGATTTAACCCCAACACACAGGAATCAAAGTGTGGTCAGATGGGGAACCTGTACCGGTCTTCGGAGTCATCCAGTGCCCACCCCATGCATTCCCACCTCGTCAGATTTGGAGCACACAGACACAGAAGGCTGGTTGTATGAGATGTTTATTTGAGACACAAAAGGCTGGTTGCATGAGATGCCTCTCCTCTCATGTTATAGGGGAAAAGTCCTGGTGTCCTTATGCAGTTTCAGTCCTAGTGTGTCTGGTCATACGTGCCAGCTCCCTTGTAGGCTCCAACGTAGCCACTGTTGTCCGTCAGATCCTGGCGGCCAGCAAGACCCTTCCCTTTGCCACTCTCATCAAAACGCTCTTTGTGGCTGCCTGTGTATTTGCTAGTATCTGTCAGCCTCTCGACCCCACCAACCTTGGTGGCTTTCTGCAAGAAAGGAGGCCAGCAAGAGGCAGCCGGCATTAGGAAACAGCTCACAAAAGAGCTCTTCCCTATGTGTGAAGACAGCACATGTCCCTACAGCAGGGATGAATGGTCTCCTGGCAGCTGAAGGTGCACAGCAGGTGAGGAAACTCATACTCACCGTGGCTCCCATACTTCTGGGCTCCTTCCCCTCAATGAGGCCATACACAGCCTGCAGCGCTTCCTCTGGTGATTTGCACTTGAAGTGCTGAGCTCCTTCATGGCCTGCTGGAACTCAGCAAAGGTGATGGTGCGGGCACCCTTTGTCCTATGGTGAGGGGAAACCAAGAGGAAAGTTTGCTTGCTACTGGGTGGCAGCAGGATGGGAATCCCCCAGGGCCGCCCACCACATGAGAGCCTGCCTGCCCCCTGCCATTCCCTCCTCCCACCCAGCTGTGCTGCCTACCATGCCTCCCTGCAGCACTCACTTGACTTTGTTGAATACGATGTCAATGTCAGTGCTGGTCACAGCTTTCCCATCCATCACAGCACACTCTTTGCACATCTTGGAGAAGTTCTTCCCTGTCATGTTGTTGCCACTGGCAGATGTATCACCGTATACCGCAAATTTACGGAAAGTGTTTTCTACCTCTGACATCTTGCTGCTGTGCAGAAAAGAAGTTAGCAAGGAAGGAGCTGAGGACCATCTGCAGCTGCTGGACACACACTCATGTCCCACACATCTCGTCTCCAGCAAAGCAAGGGGCACCACCCACACATATCTCTCCACCATGGGACAACCATGATGATCACACAAGTATTGACACAGAACACCTGGGGTCCAGGCAAGATAGGGGTAGGGACAGTTTGGGACCCAAGGCAAGGCAAAGGAGGTATGGAGGTGAGGCTCTGGGATGAATTAATGACTGCTGCATGTGAAGGAATGAGGCATCCGAAGCTTCTGAAGCTTTTTGAGGTTGAGACTGTCTCAATAATGCATGCACAATGAAGAGTCCAGACTCGTCTTCCAGGCCCCAAATAAGTGCCTAAATGTCACAGACCTTCTTGCAAATAGTCACAAAGGACTTGTCCCCATCTTTCCCTGTCACACTTCATCCCCTGAATTGCTCCCTGAATTAGGTTGTCCTCTTCCCAACACCAGTAAATTTTCCACTACTGATCAACTTACGCCAGTGCAAATAAGTGTCAGGGATCTCTGAGAACATGAAAGCCATTGCTCAGATTGTAAATGAATGCCCCACCATGAATGGGGCAGACAATTCCT